CAGGTTCCATCAACACAGATATTGGTTCTAGTTCTTGTTTCGTATCGCTACAGGTACTATACGTTTAGTTTTAGGCCTTATAAATACAACTGATTGCGTATATACTCGCGTTTACAGTAGAGACCTTACTTAAGTCACGGGCTTAAGTCTCATGTATATCAGCTGTGTCGTGTTATGCAAAAACACCGCCGCGTGTCTCCGGCTTTAGCGTCTTTTAATTTGTTGGTACGGAAATCGATAAAACTTGAAACGTTTATAAACACCAAAGTGATCTATTTTGTTTGTGCTTATACGCATGCTTTTGGATAAATGTGTGTTGCCCGTTTTTGTATATTATTGTTCACTGCTTTATACCATTCTGTGCAGATCCGTTGAAACGGTTACCGAATATCGTTTGAACGGTTTCTTAATTTCGTTCGAACGGTTTGTTAAAGCCGTTCGTAGAGCCGTTTAATTTTTTGTCTTTACCCGTTCGTATTTTTTACTCAAAACGTCTAAAACGTTTTTATGATCCGTTGAAACGATTTGACAAAACGTTTACTATCCGTTCGTTAACCGTTTTTTTGCCCGTTTTAATGCAAAATCGTTAACGTACGTTTTCCCAAGGAGGGTCACATATATTCATTATCTACAGTGTAGTAATTATTTCGATTTGTTAAGTTTGTTTATGAATCAATTATTTTGTTTGTGCATTAATTATTTTGTTTTGTTTTTAATTGTTTATCAAAGACAAATATTTGGAAAATCGTTTCATATACAAGAGCTTTGAAGCAATTTTTGTTTGAAGAAATGAGAAATATTAATTTACTGCATGGGGAAATCGCGAATATAGAACAAGTTTCCTTTGAATAATTAATGTTTATATATTTTGTTGCTTTCACTTTTTGTCTAAAACAAGGCTAACTTGTTATCCTTTACAACCAAGCTCTAAGTTTCCTAAATTACCCTGTTTAATTTAAGAAAAAACTAAAAATGTAAAGGAGAGCAAATTGATTTGAAAACGGTGCTGAAATTACCTAAGAATTTGAATTTACTATGTTTTATTAAGTAAAATAATTAACATTTTACGAAGCGTTTCAAATTAAATTTTATTTCAAATCAAAGCTCACAAAATGCAGAATAACATATCTAAAGTATATATTTCGGAAATTCATTGTTGTATAGTTAAAAGTACTAATCTTTCAACTATTTTGCCGTTTCATACAAAGAAATATAAAATTCAAAATTTAGTGTTGGCTGTCTCCGAATACCTCATGTTAATTCAATGTTTGGAAAACATATTGACGAGGGGTTGCTGCATGCATGTATTTCTAGCTTTTAAATTACTTCGCCAATAACTCATATGATGGGTCGTTCTTTAAATCAGTTAATTTTTATGTCTGATAAAGAGTTCTCCTTCTAGGAATAGCTAATGCAAGACCAATCATAAAGAAGATACCAAACAAAGCACTCTATGATATTGGAGAGGAGGTGAACTTAACTTGCAGAGCGGAAAACACTACCGATGGGTATGAAATGGAATGGTACAAAATCATTTCAAATAGAGAGGAATTTAAAATGAATGAAGCTGAGACCAAACGGGTACGCGAAATTGAACATAAAACTTTGTTGTTGAAGTCATTATCATCGCAGAATGCGGGGACCTACAAGTGTAACATATCCTTTCTTGGGTATAGAGCCTCTGAGTTGGTAAATATAAGCGTTAAAGGTAATAATCATCAAATTTTTTATTAGCATTTCTTTGAATTTTAATTTTTCCCGCTTCTGTTATTTCCGCGAATTTTATCCTGACATGAATGCGACAACTTTGAGTCGTACCAGAGCCAGCAATGCAAGTACGCGCATTTCCGGCCAATAATAATACCGCTTCCGAAGTGAGAATTAACCATTTTTTGCCATAATCAACTGCCTTTTTGGCACATGCAAGTGTTCGCGGAACATGGCCTCGACTGGCATGTCTAATAAGAAAAAAATGCTTGGCCAGCAGTGTCACAACCCTACCAAATTTTCATAAACTCATGAAAAATTATCAATAATATATGCTTCCTTCAATTTCAACTTGTGCAGAGAGAACAATCATTGCTTAATTTAAAGTAAATAGCGAAAAAAAATTTTAAAAATGTAATTTTTTGTTACTCTTCTGGATTTAATCCCAAAAACGTTATGGAGAGAAGCAACCAGTGATCTGCTGGCATGGGGGTTATGGGTCATACTTCATCCTCCTTGTGAAGAATTTCAGGTGGTGCAAAAATATTTACGGGGACGCCGACACTGCATATAGAATTAAACCAAAATTGTCAATTCAATTTAAAAATTTGCGAAAATTTGTACCGATTGTAGCCAAATTTTAATTTGAGTTGCAATTGGCCTTCTCTGACGCACAGCAGCGGGCCAGCTCGCCACTGGCGAAATGCGATCGTATACCATAAATTACAACTTCTTTTGAAACTTTCGGCAATTTGCTAAGTAGACACTTATATTGGTAATTTCCAATTCAAAATATAAACTCAATTTGTATCATTCTGCCGGTAGAAACACGACCATTTTCAAAAAATCAGCTTTTGATAATTTTAGGAATCCTGAATGGTCAAGTTTTAATATATCGCCTGAAAATTCCAAAGTAATTCATATCGCTCTCCATGGTTTTTGCATGCATTAAGCACACAATTAATGGCCTTTGCTGAGTGATTAATATCGATTGATTCATCGTTTTCTTATTACATTATCTCTCAACTTTCAAGCATGCATAATCTAATTCAAATGCTTAATTTTACTGCAGCCCCATTGAAACCTGATATTCAAATGCTGAATGAACAAAATAATTTCCATGCTAATGAAGGAAAGGGTTTTTCACTAACCTACAACGTGTTGTCTTACCCAGCCTCTGATATTAAATGGTGGAGATCTAAAGATGGAAAAGTATATGACTTGATAACTCAGTGTTTGGCGTCAAAAAAGTGCGAAAATCACGGAGGAAAAGATCATATAACAAAGACAAGTTTCGAAATAAAGGATCTTAAATTTCCCAATGATAATTTGCTCTACAAATGTAATACAAGTAACGACTATGGAAGTGACTCAAAAACCTTTCAATTAAATGTTTACGGTAATGTAAATATGTTATAATGAAACCACTTCTGTTTCTACTAGACAGGCTCAACTATATTACTGAATTTCAAATGTTCATTTCTATAGACATCTGGCATGTGTCTGAGGAATAAAATGACTAAAAGAGTTTAAATGTTTTGATTACAACTAGTACGAGAGCTGAAATATTTTTATTGTTTTTGGTCTTTTTTGTTTTGTTGTTGACATAAGCTATAACACGACACTTCGCATTTCGTAAATATTCTTCCACTTCGGTAAATAATTTTTAATTAAGATTAATTTCTTTACAGTGAAACCTGAGATTAACATGGAGAAGACATATAGATTCAAAGAAGGGCTGATAATTAATTGTTCATTAAAGAGAAGTAATCCTCCAGAAGTAAATTACACCTGGTATTCATGTAACACTCCCAACTGTGTCGGGAAAAGTTTGTCCGAGACATCTATCTTACGACTTGACAGTCAACCAAAGTCTGTTATGAAGTATCAGTGCAAAGCCAAAAACGCTGTTGGCAGTGCATCTAAAATCATTGAGGTGTTTAAATCCAGTAAGTCTACCTTATCGAAATTATAGATTGAATTGTGCAATGCCGTGCGAATACGCTAGATCACCAATTGTAATTATGACAATGGCTATTATATAAAGCTAATTTAATTAAGGTTGTCCCAGAGTATAAGGAAGGACAGTAGTGACACTTCCGTCGGATCCTTTGAAGTTTCTGTCTTCGCGCATATTGCATTGCGCATTTTGCTCTGTCTGTAAACTGCACGTTCTGGACAATAAGCACGCTGAACTGGCTAGTCCTATGCAATAAACTGCAAGTTTTTGCATAAAATGACGAGGACACGTTGTACCGCTAAGTGGCACTACTGTCTCTCTCTATACTGTGGTTGTCCTTTCAAAGTTAAAACCCTCAACTTCTAAACGCGATTAGCCTGCGTAGCGGTTCTCAGGGAAAGGAGAGCCTGCACGAAACTCCATGCTTTGCCGTTTTTACTAGTTCTTCCAGAGAACGAGAAGTCTAATTGGAGTTCAAAATAAAAAATATGCTAGTTCATGCTAAAATAATCATTGATTAACTGCCTGATTGTGAACAAACACGGTGGATGCATTTGAGAGGTATTTCTTGAGTTTTACATTCAAAAGACCTTAAAGGCCACGATTCACATTTATGGATGAAAAAAAAGGTGTTACGAACTTTGTTCATGAAGCTCTAGAGATAGTGGTTGTGGTGTCTTCGTTGAATTACTGTCGGTTAGCCGCTTCTCTTTCACGATCGTGTTCGTTTTCATCGACGACAAAAGATTTTTTCTTGATGATTTTGTAGCTGATAATTTTGTGCGAACAAGACTTGCTTTCTGACGGCTTCAGACACCTTTCTTGACGGCTTCAGACACCTTTCTCTTCCCAGCATCCCTCGAAACTTTAACATTTACATGACGGTTGACAGCTGTCGAATCTCATGGCTAGAAATGAAGTAAAACATGGCTGACAAGCATGCGCGTTTTACGCTTTCACCAAATACATTAAGAATGCCGGCGTTATATAGATTTTATAAGAGAAAATTCAACACACCCATTTTGTGTTCGATCCGGTAAAGAAGTTACGCGGTCTCATGTCTAAGAATTTATCAAATAAGACCAGTATCAACTCCCGAAAATCTGGCGTCAATCCGAGTAGCGTGGATATGTTCCCGAGAGATTTATATTTCTACGTCTCACTTTGTATATAAACGCCTACTAAATCGACATAATTTGCCGAAGTGAGGTTTTCCTAGATGTAAATTGGCCACATATATTTCGACTTTTCGCATTGAACCACGTCTACGCATATTCGAGTTGGACAATACCTTGGTTTTAGCAGCATTTAAGTGCTCAACGACTTCCTTAAACCTGTTCCGGAACGCCTTGAAACATAGCATTTTCATGCCGCAGATTCGTCGAAATTTAGTCCACCAAGCGCTGAGAAATAGTTGCTAATCTGGCATAAACAAGCAAAATATTGCATTTCCACTTCGCTTCGCTTCTTGCTGCTATTTTATATTCCTGAGTTGTTACTAGGTTACCATGCAGGATCTATAAACGCTGCATGTATTATTATTAATTTGCTCGTATATTCATCAGTAAAAGTTGGTTGGGCAAGATGGCGGTCAGGAAACAGGCCTCTAAGCTTGCTGCGCATAAGTTAAATAATTCTACTCAAAATTTTCCCAGTAAGCCAGTTCGATCAAAAATTCAAAAACCTAACGATACAAGGCGGGCTAAGGAGGAAGAGGATGGTATGGATGTGAAAGGAATGTTCGATATGATAATGAAAAAGCTTGGGAAGCTTGACATAATCATCAGCCGCATGGGAGCAATGGAGAAGGACATAAAAGAAGTTAAGAGCTCGGTCGAGTTCGTTCTCTCAGAGGTTCAAGACCTTAAAGAAGAAAATAAAATCTCCAAGAAGACAGAGGAAGAAACAAAAAAAAGACTGGAGAAACTGGAACAGATGAAGCCTGTGTTAAACAATGCGTCATTGACCTTTAGACAAGGTCAATGCGCGATAATCTTATAATCTACAATCTAAAGGAAAATAAGGGCCAGTGTTGCCAAATTTAATTAATTCCCTGATAACGTGCGAATTCTGGCAAATGCAAGAAAAGTAAAGGTACGGGTATAGCTGTTTCGGAACAGTTCCCGGAAGAAATTGTGGCAGTAATGAAACATTTATATACCTTAAACCTATATATACCTAAACCTATATATATATACCTTAAACCTATATATACCTTATAATTATACCTAAATATACCTTAAACATTTCGATCAATAATAACAATATAAAACAAGTCAAAAACACCACATTTCTAGGAATCGTTATTGATGAATTTTTGATATGATGTAATCACTTGGATTTAATTACCAAAAAATATTAAATGTGCGCAATTATTTCCAGGATTGGACATTTCACCAATTTAAATTCCTTAAAACTAATATATTATGTTTGGTCTATCCATATTTAACCTGTGGTAATTCTATCTGGAGTAACACCTACAGTCCTCGTATTCAAAAGTAAGTGAATATTCAAAACTTGCAGCTCGACAACTGGCCTAAATAGTTGGTTATAGCGCTGCACCGGAATCGCAGGGCTGCAGGTTCAATTTCTGTCAGGGACCTAAAAGTTGCATTTTTTGCTTCCGTTCCTGGTTAGGTCCAATACTGCAATGTATATAAATTTCCACTCAACGACAAACAACCTGGCATGCATCCTGGGCACAGTGACGAATTTTCCTGCACTTTTTCTTGTGCTTTACTATCACCCATTTATAAATAAAATAAGCCTCGAATTTGGATTTGAAGTGTTCTTTTTTAATTTTTGAGTCACGTAACGTTTTTGCAGTCTTAGATCTTTCATCGTCCATTCTACTAGCAAATTAAAACTTTTGGTAACTATTTTTTGAGAAAATCAGGAGTTCGCCTTCCTTAATATTGGGTCATTCCAGAAAACATCCATACCACCCCCACGGAGGAAATAGGAAGTTTACCCCCCTACCCCCTCCGGATGTCCTAATACATTTGCTATTATCAGAAACAATTTTTTCTCCCTTCCCCCTCCGGACGGCAGAAATTTCCTCCGTGGGGGGTGTAATATAGCTAATTAATATGCTAATAACTAATCCAAATAAGAATAACTAATCAGTATTCAATATATAGTTCACAAACACTATAACACGCGTTTATCTCGTTTTATTGAGTCTTAAACACTACATTCTGGCGACGAGGATACACAATTGGAGTTAGTAAACACGTTTAGTCAATCTACAACGTCAAAACATCGAATTTCAAAGCGCAAATTCGTATAAAAACAAGATTTTCGTGTGACCACGAGGAAGCCATTTCGCACCATTTTCACAACAACAATATATTTCGATATATTTTTCGTATAAAGTCGTTCGCCGTTTTCTACATCTATCCATGGCAGCTACTAGTTTCTCCTTGCCGACATTCCCGCCATTCGATGTCCATGCCGATGGAAATACCGGTCATCGCTGGAAAAAATGGCTAGGCCGCTTTGAACGGTTGCTTGTGGCGATGAATATTACCGACAAAAAACAACAACGTGCGATGCTATTACATTTCGCAGGACCGGCTGTTGACGAAATTTTTGACACCCTTTCAGACACTGGCGAAGCGAAAGACTACGACAAAGCGATAGAAGCACTCAATGCCTATTTTATTCCGCACGTAAATACGGCGTTTGAAGAATATAATTTCCGCCAAGCGAAGCAAAACCAAAGCGAAACCCTAGATGCCTTTCATACACGTTTACGTCAGCTATCGCAAAATTGCTCGTTTACAGATGTCGATAAAGAGATAAAGAACCAAATAATCGTTGGTTGCTCATCACAGAAACTTCGAAGAAAGGCTCTACGTGAAGACCCGACCTTAAAGAACCTTTTAGACGCAGGGAGAGCCGAAGAAACGAGTCAAATACAAGCGCAATTCGTGGAGAAACAAGAGTCAAGTCAAAATATCAACGCCATTAAGACGGGCGCTCTCGAGAAACATAACCCCTCGCCTCGCGACATGAGAAAACCACAAAATCAACGTCACGGCTCAAATTATCAAAGAAATTTCAACAAACCCCACACATCAACTTGCCGCAACTGTGGTGGTGGTATCTACCCCCATGCCCGAGATTGTCCAGCCAAAGGAAAAGAATGCCATTCCTGTAAAAAAACTGGCCATTTTGCAAAGGTATGCCGATCGACCCCTAAACACAAACCTCACGAACACCGGAACAGAGTCAACAACCTTTCTGAACAACCGAGCACTAGCCCTCATGATGTCAACCCTGATTACATTTTCACTTTGAAAAACAATTCGAACAGCAAAACCCAACCCCCCAAATGCCAAGTGTTGGTTAAAGAGCACCTTATTGATGTCATTATTGATTCTGGAGCTTCGGTAAACATCATCGACGAGTCCACATACAAGCAGCTCAACCAAAGTAACACCCTACCTCTCAAGCAGCCTGAGTCCAACATCTTCCCCTACGGTACAAGTGTCCAGATACCCATTCTTGGAATGGTCATGGCTACAATTCAGTTCCAGTCCACAACTTTGGATGCCAATTTCTATGTTGCCAAGGGAACCGGTGGAAATCTCTTAGGTTGCCAAACAGCCGAACAGTTAGGAATTTTAAAGATAACCATTAACACAGCAGTTAGCTCTTACAACGCTCGCATTGAAGATGAGTTCCCGAATTTGTTCGGTGGTATTGGGAAGATAAAGAACACCCAAGTCCAGTTACATATCGACACCGATGTTACACCCAAACAGCAAAAACATCGTCGCATTCCATTCCACATCCGAAAGGACGTTGAAAAGGAACTCCAGCGTTTAGAAGACCTTGATATCATTGAGCAAGTTGATGGTCCGACACCATGGGTCAGCCCAATCGTTGTGGTACCCAAGAAAACTGGAGAGATCCGATTATGTGTGGACATGCGTGAAGCGAATAAAGCAGTGCAAAGAGAAAAACACCCCATGCCAACTGTCGACGAGTTAATCACAGACCTCAATGGTGCCACAGTGTTTAGCACCCTAGATCTTGCCTCAGGTTACCACCAACTGGAGTTACACCCTGAATCCCGCCATATCACAACCATTACCACTCACGTTGGACTTCGACGTTACAAGCGACTAATGTTCGGCATTAACGCAGCCTCGGAGATATTTCAGAATGCAATTGCAAACCTACTGGTTGGATTACCTGGTTGTAAGAATATTTCGGACGACATCATCGTCTATGGTCGAGATGACAAAGAACATGATGAGAACTTACGAGGCGTGTTAAACCGCTTACAAGACAACAACGCCAAATTAAACGGTGAGAAATGTTCCTTCCGTCAGCACCAAGTAGTATTCTTTGGGCACACATTCAGCGCAAGTGGAGTTCAGGCAGACCCAAAGAAGATCGACATAATCCGGAATATGCAACCTCCAAGAAATGTCAGCGAAGTCAAGTCCCTTCTCGGAATGACCCAGTACGTATCTCGGTTTATTCCCAACTATGCCTCCATCACAACACCCTTGCGTACCCTGACCCACCAGAACGCCAAATGGCAATGGCAAGCGGAACAAGAGAATGCTCTGAAAAAACTTCAACACGAGCTTACGAATGATCCTGTTATGGCTTACTTCGACCCTTCGAAACCAACCACCGTCATTGTGGATGCCAGCCCCTCGGGTTTAGGAGCACTGCTTACTCAAGAAGGCAGAGTTACCAGTTATGCAAGTCGTGCACTTTCCAGTGTAGAATCCCGCTATTCACAAACTGAACGCGAGATGTTAGCCGTTATATGGGCTATCGAACACTATCATCTTTACCTGTATGGCGCTAAGTTTATTGTCATCACCGACCACAAGCCGCTACTCGGAATCTTCAAAAGTCAGAAACCGACTTCAGCGAGAATTGACCGCTGGAAACTAAGACTGATGCCCTATGATTGCGAAGTTGTTTACAAACCAGGGAAAGATGCAGAAAACCCTGCCGACTTTCTCAGCCGTCACCCCAACCCTGTTGTTTCTTCGCCCACCGACAACACCACCGAAGCCTATATCAACTATTTGTGCATCAACCTCATCCCCAAAGCTATGAAACTCGACGAAGTGAAGAAAGAAACTGCTAACGACCCAGTCCTTTGCAAGCTTTCTGAAGCAATCACACACAACCGATGGCTCGATCCTGAAGTGAAACCGTTCGTTAACGTAAAGGACGAACTGTCTGTCTGCAATGGATTAATCGTCAGAAACCACCGCCTGGTGCTACCTCATTCACTGCAGAGCCAAGCCATAGATCTTGCACACGTAGGCCACCAAGGCATAGTCAAAACGAAAATGCTACTTCGTGAAAAGGTCTGGTTCCCCTCCATAGATAAGATGGTGGAACAGAAAGTCAAGACGTGCCTGCCGTGCCAAGCAGCAACCACAGGTACCCATCGACATCCAGAACCCTTGAGCATGACACCGCTGCCCGACGCACCATGGCAAGATGTTGCTGTCGACTTTGTTGGTCCGTTCCCAACAGGCGAGCTGCTACTCGTTGTCATCGACGAATTTAGCCGATTCCCCGAAGTAGAAATTGTCACCACTACGAGCACAAAAGCTGTCATCCCAAAGCTGGATAACATATTTTCCCGCCAAGGTGTTCCTGTTGTTCTTAAAAGTGATAATGGTCCGCCATTTAACAGCTCGGAATTTGAACAATTTGCCAGTTACCTTGGTTTCGAACATCGCAAAGTCACTCCGTATTGGCCAAAGGCGAATGGAGAAGTGGAACGGTTTATGTGCACCATTGAAAAAGCCATACGTACAGCACACATCGAAAAGAAGAACTGGAAACAAGCCTTGTATCAATTTCTCCGCCAGTACAGAGCCACACCGCACAGCACGACGAATGTGTCACCATCCGAGGCCCTGAACAATCGAAAGTTGAAGATACCACTTCCGAGTATTCCAAAAACTCTGCAACAAGAAACCCAAGATCCAATGCGAAAACGAGATCAAGAAAAGAAAGAAAAGATGAAGAAATACTCAGATCATCGACAACACTCGAGAACAACTGACCTGAAGATAGGAGACACAGTCCTGATCCGCCAACCAAAGAAGAACAAGCTTACCCCACCATTTAACCCCAAACCATTCACTGTTGAAGCTCGGAAAGGAACTATGGTTACCGCCAAACGTGGTTCGAAGAAGATAACACGCAACATATCCTTCTTCAAAAAGATTGATAATCGTGTAACGGATAGTTCAGATGACGAAGATAATGATGACGATTTTGATTGCGACCGAACCAACGAAGACCAACTCAATCAAGAACCTGTTCATTTACGAAAATCCCAGCGAGAAAGAAGACAACCAAATAGACTTGGATTTTGAACATTGAACTATCAATGACTATAGACACATATTGCATGTTAACAGTTGAAATTTGTTTCAGTTTAAATTCCTATTGTCGTTTCGGGTAGAGGAGACATTTTGAATAACATATAACGTGAAGAACAGAGAACCTATACTAATGTGGGGAGGGATGTAATATAGCTAATTAATATGCTAATAACTAATCCAAATAGGAATAACTAATCAGTATTCAATATATAGTTCACAAACACTATAACACGCGTTTATCTCGTTTTATCGAGTCTTAAACACTACAACTTCACTCGATCTAACTGAAATTCCAATTCAGCTATTTTATTCTTTAGAGGTTGAACGACCTTGTCAATTTCTTTATCGACGACAGACTCGACTGTATCGCACACCACTTCGGAGACGATTGTCTTAGTCGTCAATACAAGCATATCTTGAAAACCTTTTGAACTTAAGAAACTTTGGAATTGCTGTGTAATTGCTTTATTCACTAAGTCTCCAAACGCATCGGACTTAAAATAAGTATCTAAATCTTTACGCGAATGACTTCGAGTATTTACGCGTCCTTCTTCGTCCCCCATCTTTCGGCTCTCGCAACAACTACACGAGCCTTTTTAATGCTTGCTGTACAGGGCTGCTACAGGATTAATAAATCAAACCATGATGCCAAACACTCCAAACTTGAGCTTAAAAGAAGAATAGCATCGAAACAAGCAAAAGAAAACCAAAATAATTTTGAAATATTTGTCTTGACCGGGAGCAATTTAAATACGTCTTGCTCCGACGAAGGTCGTCAATGTGTCATAATACGCAGATCTTAATTTAATCGATTGCTTTTTTTTGCCTTTTGGGTTTACACAATTGGGCACACTTCGTTGGTTTTGTGTGATCTGAATTCTATAGTGCTCGTGTAAATGTCTGCGTATATAGCCTAGTCGATCCTATAGTTGGTTTATCTGGTAGTGGCCAGAAGTGATTTATCTCTGGTAGTGGCCAGAAAGCATTTGATCTGATATGGGCCACAAGACAATGTTATCTGGTAGTGGCCAGAAGTGATTTTATCTGGTAGTGGCCAGAAAGCATTCGATCTGGTATGGGCCAGAAGCCGATGTTATCTGGTAGTGGCCAGAAGTGATTTAACCTGGTTGTGGCCAAACGCGATTTTATCTGGTAGTGGCCAGACGCGATTTTATCTGGTAGTGGCCAAAAGTGATTTTATCAGCTGGTAGTGGCCAGAAGTGATTTTGTCTGGTAGTGGCCAGCGTTCTAATTTTTATCTGGTAGTGGCCAGAGTTGCATTTTATCTGGTCGTGCCCAGAATTGAGTATATTTAGTAATGCGTATAATATTTTTAATTTTGTGTTTGTTTGTCTATCTGGTTGTGGCCAGACTAATAAGTAGTAATATAGGTACCGATCGATCCGGATTTTTGAGGTGGTGGATGAGGTGGTGTGAGGTGGTGGAGTGTGAGGTGGTGGAGTTTGAGGTGGTGGATGTCCACCACCTCATTTATAATTAATATTCATACAAATGAGGGTGAGGTAATTAATATTCATACAATGAGGAGGAGTGAGGAGGAGGAGTGACGAGGAGGCGTGAAGAGAAGGAGTGAGGAGGAGTGAAGTGAAGTGTGAGGTGGTGGAGTTTGAGGTGGTGGATGTCCACAACCTCATTTATAATTAGTATACAATACGTTGCTAACCTTCTAAAACATATTGATGAACTGAGACTAGTAATGCATAATAATGATATTGACGTACTCGCAATTAACGAAACTAGAATGGATAGTACTATACCAATTGAATTGATATCCCTATCCGGTTATACTTGGGTTTCCAAAGACAGAAATAGATCTGGTGGTGGTGTTGGCTTTTTCATACGTGATACAATTAATTTCCAGCTTAGATCTGACCTTAACGATCCTAATATTGAAATCTTAACAATTGAAATTACCAAAAACAAAAGCAAGCCATTTCTACTTACCACATGGTATAGGCCACCAAACGACCCTATCGACACACTTTATAAATTTGAAAATTGCCTTAAATTGATTGATAATGAAAATAAAGAAAGCATTATTTTAGGTGACGTTAATTCGGATATCCTAAGTAGCAATCCTTCACATCTTGTCTCTGAGATGAATTTCATCACTAATCTTTATCAATACGAGCAATTGATAAATGAACCTACAAGAGTCACAAAAGACAACGCAACTTTGATTGATCACTTTTATACAACAAAACCAGACTTAATAATTTCTAGTAGGGTAAGAATTATCACTATTAGTGACCACTACTTAATTTACGGTATTCGTAAATTTTATACAACCAAGGGAGCCCCGGAAGTTGTAGAATATCGGGATTTCAAGCACTTTAATGAAAACAATTTTCTTTTTGAATTGGAATCATTATCAAGCCTAAATTTAGACCATTTAGATCCCAACATTTCTTGGTTAACTTGGAAAAATAAATTTCTTCATATTTTCAATAAACATGCACCCTTAAAAAAACGTAGAGTGTCTAAGAAACGTGTACCTTGGTTAACCCGTGAGTTAAAATATTATAAACGCCAAAAAGCATATCTTAAACGAAAGGCAACTTTATCTAACTTAGACGGCGACTGGGCAGCCTATAAATCATTGAAGAATCATTATAATAGATTGATTAAAAGTACAATGCGTCAACACTATCAAGAAAAGATACATAATAATTCAGGTGATATTAAGAAAACATGGAAAATAATCAATGAGGTGATTAACAAGTCAAAAAAAGCCAATAAAGCACTACAGCTTAAAAATGAAAATAAAGAAATTATTGATCAAGCGGATATCCCAAATCAGTTTAACAAATATTTCATTGAATTAGGGGATAATTTATCTAATGATATACCCTTATCAACGTCAACTCC